TAGAAAAAATAGAACGGCCAACGACCCCACACGTTTGATCCGCGTTCACAATCGAGGCCATAACCTCAAAGGTTATTTGTAATCCGTATTCAAAAGGGAAATAGGACGCCAATTTTTTGGCAAACGTCGATCATCTTTCTTGTAAAGTAAATGTAAGAGAGCCTCGCTTTGACTCAAATTAAGCGAACCGGTGTTATAACATTCATTAAGAACAGAATGTAAAGAATCACTAAGGTCGTCCCAAAAAGCAAAATAAAATTCAGGCGGAGACCATCAGACCCAGTCGATTTACCCGTCTGAAGGCCCGATAAAGCAGTAAATAATTCTTCCTTCATAAACAAACCTTCACACAAGTCAGACTCACAATCAGTTAAACAAGTGTCAAGGTCACGGATTAATTGTTCCTGAATTTGCATATCTAGGACATCCTTAGAGAACAAAGATTTGTAAAAATTAAGTAAAATAAGCTCAATGTGTGCCTGGGAAGACTTTTCTGTACCATCAACATCTGAAAGAGAAGAAAAAGAATTCTTCTCCGCACCCTTCTGCTTAAGGCAAAAGAAAAAACAAGTCGGTTTTTCACCCTCTTCTATCCACCTAGCACGAGATCGTATTTTAGCCCCCTAAGATCATTAACTGTATCCACATACCGGCTGTCACCAGAAAAAATTAACTGTTTGGCCCGGATTAGCTGCTTAGTTAACAAATCACGATCCCAATTTAAGCGCTTACATTTCTGGACAGAAAAGTCCACACAGGCACTCCGAATTGAAACTTTTAAATCATCCCACCAAGCACCTAGAGGACTAAAACTAGGGATAAGGGAATGATGAGAGAATAAGATCTTGCACTTTAGCAACAAAATCACTATCAGCCAAAAGGTCGAATTAAATTTCCAAACACTGCTCCCGCTGGGGTTACCATTGTACAGGGACAGAAATAAATCTACATAATTGTGATCGGAGAGCGTGCAAGTAAAACGTTTATTATAACGCACTAAAGAGAGTAAAGACCGAGAAATAAAGAATTGATCTAATCTAGAAGCTTGAGAAAAATCACTGTTCACCCAGGTATAAGAGATCACAGAAGGATTCCTTTTGCGCCAGATATATACAAGACAGAAATTGGCCTTCAGAGCAGACAAGACTCGCTTGTCGGCACTAAAGTCCAACTTAATGTTCAGCCTGTCAACAACAGAGTCAATGCAGTTAAAATCACCACCTAAAACCAAAGATCCTTGAGACAGAAAGGTGTGGATATTTTCAAAGAAAACTCTGTGATCGGAAACGGTGTTTGTGGTGTTTGAGCATAAAGGCTGACTAAATTAAAATTAACAGAATCTATCTCAACAAGGATGCTTAAAATTCTACCGTCAAAGTAATGTAGGTAATGAATTATTTTCCCCGCAAAATTAGGAGAAAAGAGAAACGCTACCCCTGCAGACTTACCTACACCAAATGACCACAAACACTTGCCTTTCCACTTGTTCGCAAATAAATCGGCCGATCTCTTACAAGAGACACGTGTCTCCTGAAGAAACTAAACATCATAATGTAAATGCTCAAGCTCATGAAGAAATGAATCCCACTTGCGAGCCGAGGCTAAGCCCCAGAGATTTAGACTGAGAAGTTTAAGTGCCATATTGAAATAGAGAAAAATAAGGATTAGCCCCTATCACTACTATGGCTGCAGCTCTGCCTCTTGTACTTCTTCCTATCAACCACCTTCTAAGCCTCATCTTAGTCAGAACTGTGATCGGAGCGTCGGTGACTGGGGTAGTAATCCCGGTAAGAACGAGAGTGGCAATAATACTCCCGGTTACGCTCATAATCGCGATCATGGTCGCGCACCTGAGGCCGATCCCGGTCCGGATCTTGACAGTGATCCCCACGACGGTCTCACTCTTGATCCCGTTCCCTCTCAGGGTCACGCTCAGGCTTGCGATCACATGAAGACTCGCGCAAATGCTTCTTAGAGGACCTTTCTTTAACCTTTACCTTTTCCTTTGAGGGGGACTGCTTCTTCGCTTCTGGGGAGGTCTGGTCCATCTCTCAGGGGGTGCTCCTTCTTCTCTCTCGGGAGGGACTCTGACAAAGGGGAGTTGAGCTTGTCTGCGTCTATAACTTCTTCTCTGACACGGATTTCCTGGTCCGCGTGGCCTGTTGGCTCCTGGGAGGGAGATCCTTCAGGTCAGCAGACCTTCCATCAACAATCTCAGCATGCGTAGCAGCTCCAAGGACAGGGGGGAGCATGTTAGCACTGTAAAACACAAAGGGGCAGGCAGCCAGATCATGTGAAGACTCCAAACACACGGAGCACCGGCGAGGTTCCTTACAATTACTACTACGGTGCCCTGGCTTCTTGCAACTGTAGCACCGAAGTGCAGAGCAAGACCGGGCCATGTGACCTTCCAAGCTGCACCTACGACAGGTGCGCGGCTGGAATGCGTAAAAGAACAACCGTCTTTATAATTATTTAAGTAAACTAGAAATTCTATGTGATAATAAATTTGGCTTCAGGAAAAATCATTCAACTTCGTTAGCATTGATTGACCTATATGAAAAAATCTCCCTTGCTCTTGATCGCAATGAACATGACGTTGGCGTTTTCCTTGATCTTTCTAAGGCCTTTCATACCGTAGATCATAATATTCTGCTTGACAAACTTGAACACTATGGTATATGTGGCTTGGCTCTGGAGTGGGTTAGAAGCTACCTCTCCAAAAGGTTGCAATTCGTTCAATTTAAAGGTCAATGCTCCTCTCCACAAACTATCTGCTGTGGTGTCCCCCAGGGATCCATTTTGGGACCCTTGTTTTTCTTGCTCTATATTAATGATGTAAATAACGTATTAACGCTAGTCGAGCTGATTTTATTCGCTGATGATATTTATTTATGTCCCATAAAGATCCTGTCTACCTGGCAGCCTCACTCAATTCCGGACTTAATAAATTATCCACTTGGTTTAAGGCAAACAAACTCTCCTTAAACCTAGACAGAAAAGGTATCATTTTCCAATGCAAATATGCATAAATGAACAGAGAATCGAACAGGTTAAGGAAACGGTCTTCCTCTGTGTAGTCCTTGATGCACATTTCTCAAGTAGCTCGTAAAATCTCGAAATCAATAGGAGTCATTAATAGAGCTAGATTTTTTCTATCTTAACCCTGTCTAAAAACTCTTTATTATTGTTTAGTGTATCCTTATCTTCATTATTGTATTATTGTCTGGGGATCTACCAACAAAACCAATCTTCGCCGTCTTGTCTCTGCAAAAGCGAGTTATCAGAATTATTTCTAAATCAACTTTCAATTCTCATTCAGACCCTATTTTCAAAGAATTAGAGCTATTAAACCTTTCCAATATTAGACAACTAGAATTGGGTAAACTTATGTTTTCTCTTAAACATTCTCTTTTGCCTTCAAAGTTCAACAATTATTTTTCTTTAAACAAACAAGTCCATAGCTATGCCACTAGATACGTGAACGATTTTCACCTTCCTTTTTGTAGAACAAACCTTCATAAATTTTCTGTCAGTTTCCAAGGACCTGCCTATTATAACTCTATAGAAAATGATATTAAAGAATCTAATTCTCTCCACTTATTCAAAACGAAATTGAAAAAAAATTATATATGAATTATTAGTTTTAAATCTTGTAGTAAATAGTTATCTTTCTTCACATGTCTGATATTATTTTTATACTTATTGTTACATGTACCATACTTTACATTTTGTCAACTCAGTCTATGTAATTAGTTAATTTATACTTACCTTCATTGTATTTTTACTTTCGATCCTGGCCTTACTGTTACTGTTAACTTTATTTTTACTCTGACAGAACCCAATGTCTATAAGCCTGATGGTTTCTTTTTGGGCTTCCTCGGCACTTTCATTTGCTTTTGTGTAACTGTCTTGTTTTATCGTTACTTGTATTTTGTGGTAAATCAAATAAAGTTACAAGTACACAACCTCACCAGCGATGTAAGCTGCAGAGGGGATTGGTTTCTTTAAGCACAGTGCGGTATGAATGCCATTGCTGATCGTCAAAGAAATCTTATCACGACGAAAGGACAGGACAGCACCATAGGCAGTACCATAGGCGTACAAGCAACCGATGATCATTACAGAAACGCGCCCATTCATAAATGTTGATCGTGAAAATGCAAATGAGAGCAAAAGTTAACACAGAGCTTGCGTAACTTAATGGAGGACCGTCAACAAAACTGTTAATGATGAAATCTACCGTGCATGTTGCATTGTTCTTGCCCAGATGAGTGAGATGAGGTGGTAAAAAGCGAAAACAATAGGAGGATTATCTTAATTACTCTGTATTGTTACAAAGTCACTCAGTTTTAACATTCAATTTGCACTCTTAATCCGCCGACTTTTTAAACTAAGTATAAGATTACAGGTTCCAGAGGTTTCTTTTTCTTATCTAATTCCTGAAAGTTCGCGACAAAGGGTCAAAAACAAAAAAATAACCAGCAACGATCATAATTTGCAGATTTCTCTTTCAATATTTCTCAATGCTTTGAATATGACCAAATGAAGTCTTCTAGAATTCAGAATTAATTTACCTCACTTTATTCTATGGATTTACAACAACTTACATAAAATTTGCAATCACTTGCGCTCGCGAAGCTTTCGAACTTGGCAACATTTTGTGGCGATACAGAACGTTGAATCAATATGGCGTAATCTTGAGGTTTTCGAGGGATAAAACCACAAAGTACTTTAATGCTGTCATTTCTGTGATGAATTTTTACTCTACTTTTCACTTTTGTATTTTAAAGAACGATACACAAGCAAACAGTTCGTTGTTTTAACCTTTCTGCTCGATCAAGCCAGTGATTGGAAACAAGCAATGAACAACCTTGTACCCAAGTCCCATTGACTAAGTAACCATAGAGACAATAAACAAATTTATAAAGCGTCATTTGTTTGATATCTCCTAAATTGCTTCCCATACGACGAGTTACAATGTCTTTTGAAATTGGAAAGAGGAAGACCGTTGGTATGTTTGTACCATTCTTACATGTGAAAAAGATGGATATAGCGTTACGTTTGATGGATGGAGTCGAAAGTTTGATACCGTTCTCGCTCCTGCATTTGTTCGCCTGCGCTCTACGATTGACAGTCGGAAGAGGAAGCCTTGGACTCCAAGCATAAATTTCAACAAGCTCCTACCAGATGACGAGATATCAATCGATGTCGAGGGTTCCAGAAAGCAAGCTTTGGTACGAGTAGTGGATCCCTTCCGTGAGCAGCTGACCATTGAATGTGAAAGCGTTTACCTGACTGTTGCTTTCAGTGATGTACCTTCAGTGATGTGGTCAAACGAAAAAGACCTGCTGCTTCACACGTCATTACAATATCCAAACCAGCGCCAACACCACCACAAGTGCCGATCCCTGTGAGTTCTACAGCTCCGCAGTTCATGGCCATTGTCTGCCCCGATGGTACTGAAATGGGCTGTGGAGATCTCGTGAACCTCCCACCAAATGCGACAGATGTTTTTCTTGTCCTGGAGGTTCATCAAGAAGAGATGAGTGGTGACTTACTCATTAACGCTCAAAAGTGTTAGCTATCAGATGGTGTCGCTGTTCGCAGTTCATCCAACTTCAGGCGGACCTGTCCAGTATCCGAATTGTACAAGCTTCAAAACACTAAATTTTTGCCTCACTTGGAAAAGGAAGTACTGGAAGGACCTGCCACGATAAACAGACTCGCACTGAAGGAAACGACCATCATCATCAGACCATGATTTCACAAAAGACAACACGGGACGATAGAGGATAATACAGCCACAGGATTTGTTTGAGCCAGGAGACACCACAGACAGATAACCAGAAGAACGAAACCAAGACGACACTCCACATCACTCACACAGTGCACCTCCTGGAGGCACACAATATCAGGGACAACAGAAAGAGCCTGCAACCATTGAAGGAGGCGCAACTGTTTGTCGGAACCTCTGATACCATTGGTGTTAAGAGTAATAATGGAAACTGTCATTTTAGGAGTGTTTAGAGGACTGACGGTGGGGACCACCCGCTTTAAACAAGGTCTCATCTGCGGCAGCCCGAACGGCTGCAGAAAGACCCTTACAAGTAAGAGTGAGGGAAGGCTTTGTCTTCCACCGAAGAGCTGGGCCCTGCACGACAGAGAGTCGAGTACCCGCATTGGCGACCTCCTCCGAGACCACTACATCCTCCCAAGATGGGGAAAGGTCATCACTAGAACCGTCATCATTAGCTGGCCGTTTGCTTCCTTTGACATTCATAGTCCATTTCAGCCGAACCGGCAATACCAGAATTCTCAGAGACCATTTTAGGGGGAGCAACAGAAGCACCATTTATTTGTTTTAAGGTACTTTCACATTTTGCTCATTATTAATACTAATGTTGTTTAAAGTACTTTCACTAACATTATCAACATTGACATCACCACTCTGCTTTGGAATTACACCACTATCAAAGCCACTAGCATCACAAAGACTGTGCTCAACAGCACTTTCACACCCAGCATCATTGCTACTCGGAGTGGAGTCAGAACTCTCACAACCATCTCCCATAGCAGGCTCATCTTCACCTCCGCAATCAGCCTCATCCTCAGACTCCTAACCGGAAGACGAGGAAGAGACAGCAGAGAGAGCATCAGCAAAAACCTGACTATCCAACTCATGAAGCTGATTATCCCGCAGGTCCTCAGCAGAAGAGGCATTCTTCGATTCATTTTGAAGGATTTTAACTCTGAGTACAATAATTTACTTAAAAAGGCAGGAACTGCAAACCTTAAGGACAAGCGTTTACAAAACATACTTCTTACCATTTTTAAATGTCTTCATTTTTCCGATTATCCAAGATATTTAAAAGACATGTTTTGCTTACGCTCTAGCACCTATTTTTTAAGAGGAAATAATATGCTCTGTTTGCCTAAACCATGGACGACTTCTTATGGTATCAATTCCTTTAGTTACTTAGCAGCAACATCTTGGAATTCTCTTCCTGACCATCACCACACTATTTCTGATTTTACTTCTTTTCGACGACTGATATCTACAGGGAACAATAATTTACTTAAAAGGGCAGGAACTGCAAACCTTTCTACATCAAGATAATTTCCAAGTTAGTTGTCTAGGTAGTTAGTTATCTTATTTGTTATATAGAATTAACTTTTTATTATAATTATTTATTAATGTTGTTGGCTCGAAGATATTAGTACTTGAGTGCTACACTGTAAATTCGAGGGTAAATAAAGTTTATTGATTGATTGATAGTTTCCTTATGGTGACATACGGCACAAGAATCAACCCCCAGGAATAAAGGGAGTCCCAGACTTTGATTCCCCTCAGGGTGATCAAACACAGGAGGTCATTCTTGCAATTCTCAGTAAGATAGTCGCAAACACCTAGCCAGTGTTTGCTCATACTAAAATCAGAACTTACATAGGATGACCAGCCCCAATGTAGTCTGGGGCGGGTCACCTCAGACTTAAGAAAAGCTTCATAACATTCTTTAGAGCTATACGTGAAGGCAGCCTGTTTATGTACTTGAGCATTAAGGTCAGTAATAGCACGTAATATGCAGTCGTAGAACTTGGTCGGGGTCAAAGCACTAGTGGTAGAGTTATCCCGCAAGTGGGACCACTAAGTCCCCAGGCAAGCTAGCTGAGAGCCAATAAAATGTCTCAAAAGATAGTGGTCATCAGTATCTGAATTTGCATGCAATAGAAACAGTAGCTGCTACTTTCAAAGCCTTGCATTTAGTCATTAAATCAACAAGAGATAAACCCCCTTCATTAAAAGGGAGGGTCAAGGTCTTACGACTGACAGTTTCGATCTTAGAGCCCCACACAAAGGGGTATACTTACTTGTTGTATTGAGAGACCACCCATTTACGGAGGGGGAAACCAAAGCTTACTGGCTCCTAGAACATTAACAATAAGTGCTTTGCCAACAAAGGAAAGGGAACGGGGTTTCCAAGAGTTGAGTGTGGACTCGAGTTTTTCTAACCTAGTCTGCCAATTATCCTGGTCTACATTAATGAATACCAAACACCACAGATTTTCATTTTGCTCACCCAGGTCAGACCAAAGGGAGCGTTTGACCTGGTACGCCATGAGCCTAGCCACATGGCTGGCCTCTGTCTTGGAGAGATTAAGTTTTGCCCCAGTGGCCAATTCATATCTATTCACTACTTGAAACAAGCGACTCATGGCTTAAGTATCCTTAACAAAACAAGTAGAGTCATCCACATATTGTCTAATTTTAAAACTTCTATGTGCTCCATGAAGGAGGAAACCTCGTACGCCCGGGTCGTGACGAATAGAGTTGGCAAGGACCTCAGCACATAAAATATACAAAAGCGGGGAAAGTGAGTCCCCATCTCACGCCTCGTTCAAGCGGAATGGACTCAGTGAGGTAGCCATTAACAATCCCTTTCATGGAAGCACTACTATAAAGAGTATCAATCCAGGGTCAAAAATTAGGCCCAAATCTGAAATGGTGTAGGACGTTCATAAGAAATGAAAAATCTAAGCGGTTGAAAGCTTTCTCTTGGTCTAAACTTACTAAAATGCTGGTCTCATTAGTGTGATCAATATGGTCTAGTGTGTCGTAACAAAAAGAAATTCTCAAAAATAGTACAGCCAGGGACTGAACAAGTTTGGTTACTCTGAATAATACGAGGTAGAAGTTTCAATAGTCTATTAGCAAGAGCTGTAGAGGCAATTTTGTAGTCAATATTCAGTAAAGAAATAGGACACCAATTTTGGAGAGATTTTCTCTCCCCTTCCTTATTAATCTGGTGATACTAGACTGCACAGATTCGGTAAAACAGCCCAATTCAAAACTGAAATTATACAGGTCCAGCAAATGAGGACCAAGGATTTCCCAAAATTTAGCATAAAATTCTTTTGGTAAGCAGTGACTTTCCGTGACTTAACTCAGACATTGCTGCCTCTGCTAGCATTGACAACCCGGATACGCTGACTGTCTCATGTTTATCATCTTCATCAACATTAAGTGCATCCATAATTGATTCCTCTTGTAATTTATTTGGCATCTCTTCCAGAGGTGATGCCGTTAGACTAATATTAGATCGGAGGACCATATTTGTGTAGGGGTCTTTTTCATCGCTTGTCAGTAAGACCCATTCATCCTCCACCATTTCAAGGTGTTGCAAACTAGGATGCAATCGGTAAGGCCCTTTATTTATGACCGCCCAGTAGATATTTCGTGCCTGTCTTTCACAAAGTCTTTGCATCGTTGCGACGAGTGAATCAACTGGTGATTCGGTGTGGTCAGTTTCTCTGCTGACGAGGCTGTTAACACACACTCTACCCTGTTTGTGAAAAATGCTTTTGGGGGGTTTCCGAGTCCAGCTCATATTCTTTGAGGTCTTAGTATTTTTGCCTTCATTGAATCAGCCTTGTTTTTTACAAACCATGTGTGAAATCGTAAACCTTTTTCACCCAGTTGTTCGTTCTAAACACCCTTTAGTGTCTGTAGACGTGCTTCGAATTCATCCATGTCTTCAGAATCGACCAAACCGTCTTCAATTCTAGTACCCTGTTGCTGTCCGAATATGTCCGCTATTATGCATTTTCTATTGGGCTCGTCAACTCCAACTGTCTTGAGGCAATTAACAGTGTTGTTTTTGAAATGAATAAAACAAAGTAAATGGGTTAGATCCGGACAACTCTCTAGGAATGGTGAAGAGGGAGCCATCTCTCCATCTGTTCTGAGAACACGTAAATTCTTTAGTTGTGGTCTAGAGTTGAAAAGATAATCAACAAACACGGAAGTGTTCTTTTCTTTTTTCTAATGAATCATCATCGGGCCAATCATAACGGGATGCATGCCTCCGTGATGACCTATTAGTAGTAAATGTTCGTATGTTGTGGTAGTGACACTAAATGGCCCAAGGTCAAATGTTGGATCGATAGACGTAATGCCAAAATGCTCACTGTTTGTGCAAAACGATACAAGGTCATCTAGTTGTTCATTGGTTCCAAGAATGACAATCGGTTCAGGGGCACTCTGCACCTTTCGTATATAAGCACTGCTGATATCTTTTGCCTGCTCTTTATACACTCCATCACAAGAGCTAAGTATGGGTCGCTTTAACTTAGTTTGCAGCTAGAGGCGTCGTCTTTTTTCTGTAAATTATACGCCTGTGTAATATCCCTTGGCCATGAACCAGCACTATGCCCAGACTTTAAGCCCCCACATTCTTCCGCTACTTTATCGAGCATAATCCTTGGTTGATTTGATTTCAGCTCATTTTAAAGAGTTGCAAGGGTGCTCTTTTGTGTGCGGGTGTAAGGCTTTTCTGTTTTAGTGTCATTTCCATGTGACGTTATTATAAACTGGTGTTCATCTTCAGTAAATTGATACTCTACTTTTGTCAAAAAA